TTAATTATCTCTGTCAAATTGAGTGCAGGCAAAATTCAAATTTTTGACTATACTCTGTAAATTCTGCTTTCGTGGTCTGTACTAATTAATTAGCATATTTAAGATGAGGCAGTTCAGATTGAATCTCAGCACGTGAAAATCCGATCATTAGATCCAAATTTACTCAGGGTGTTCACTTTTTAATTTTGCGCACTGTGCGCTGAAAAAGTGACGAAAATAATTAGTTTAAAGATACTTAAAATATATCTCGATACCCTATTTAATTACCTCGTTAAAATAAGTATTAAAACTTCAATACACTGTGATATACCAATACATGGACCTACAGGTACTGCTTGTTCCATTGCAATATTATTCTAATGAAACACATATTTAAACTTTTGCGCGATTTTTATACAATTAGGAATATTTTTCTACTTGATAATATGCTAGGTCTATAATTATTATCTATTCTTTCATTACAAAATGGAAACTAAATACAAGAAAATCAACTAACAAGGGTGTGATATTATGTATAATTTTTCCTCCTTTTCCCTTCTTCACTCAGATACTTCCCAAAATCACAATTGGCCAAATAAATGGTAACCAGTTAACAACACAAATATTTATTAACAAAGAAAAAAAAACGAAGTTTGAAGAAAATTAATATAACCAATACACCTAAACAATTCGCTTCCGCTCTCCATCAGAGCGTTCCCTCCTCTGTCTTTTTACAACATCTACCTTGATGACAGCGCCATCACAACATGGAGGCATGACAAAGGGTAAAAAAAAAAAACTTGAAATTTGGTTTACATTTGTTAGTTGGTTTTACATTTCAGGAAAGAGTACACTGTCTATAGACCAAAACAATGTAGGAATAATAGCAATATAATCTTTTTTTTACCAAAAACGACACTAATATTTTATGCCACCACGACGAGTCATTAATAACGAAATCAAAGTTGAAAAATATAAGGTATAATATTTACAGAGTAAATTTGATGGATAATAACTTACATTTCAGAAGGGACGTGGTCTTTTTTTCCTTCCACCATAGTTTAAATTTTCTAATTCTTCATTTAAAATAAATAATTTATTCAACAGCTCGGCAACAATAATCATAATCACAAACATACAAAAAGACAGTAGTTTTGTTTATAAAGTAGGTTACTGCCTACCTATTTCTATCTCTGGTACAAAACGACGAATAAGGGGCGGGCCTCTCTTGTCGAAAGAACTCGTCCCGCAGTGGACTGATCGTTAAGACACGGTTCCGAGCAGATCACCGAAGTTAAGCATCACTGGCTGTGGTCAGTGTGCTGGTGGGTGACTATTTGGATCAGTCTGTGTAGAGACAGAGGGTGTGCGGTATTGGTCCTCGTTAAACTGTTCTACCGTAAAGTGCTCGACTTCGCGTGCAGATCGTCGGGCTACCGAAGTAATTGTGATGTCATTTCTTCGGATCATCCTCAGGGATGTTTCCCAGACAGTCGCCGATAGTTCTTTGTGCAGCTCTAGTGCGACGTAAATGAACTACAACAACTCTGGTCGAAAGATGTCTTTTTGGTGGCAAATGCATTGAGGTAAAAGCTTCGACATTCTTTCTAAACAGGGCTCTATCCTATCTGACATACTTGTCCTATGTACTCTTAAGCAAGGGCTCTTTGCTATTCGTTTTTAAAAGCTAAGGCCCTTCTGAGACTTTGGGGTATAAACCACCTACCTCCTCTAGCGCAATTCAGAAACTTAGTAATTATTGGAGATAGTTTTGTAGGTATTTTATTTACGTCGCACAATGGGCTATTGGCGACGGTCTGGGAAACATCCCTGAGGATGATCCGAAGACATGCCATCACAATTTTGATCCTCTGCAGAGGGGATGGCACCCCCGCTTCGGTTGCCCGACGACGAGCATTTAACGGTAGAACGAGAAAAGATTTTTTTAAAATGAGATTTGACATTTTTTTTACGAGGATCGATATCACATACCCTCGGTCCCTACGTAGACTGATCAAAGTGGTCACCCAACCGCTTACTGACCGGAGCCAGTTATGCTTGACATCAGTGATCTACTGGGAACCGTGTCCTTACGATCAGTCCACTGCGGGACATATAATTTTGTGAAAACCACTTTAAAAATAAGAAATTTGCAACAATGATTTATAATAAATAGAATTTAGTAGGAGATTAGATAAATGAATGCAAACAGAATAGCGACGATGAATAACTTTATAATAGTCAGGCATAAATAAAATTACTTTTCTTTCTCTAAAAATGCAATTAAAAAAAAGAGAGAGAGAGAAATTGGGAGTATGGAATGTTCTGGGACATCTAAAATTCTCCCAGACAGAGAGCATGATTGGGCCTACGGGGGGGGGGGGGATTGCCTCGCCCCTCAAAAAAGCATGAGGCGCGTATGCACATGATGTTATTCAAGTAAGAAGTTATGTCATTGATCTCCCAAATATACAAGGGAACACAAAAAAAACTTATCTTTTTTGAATTCTTTATTATTTTTTTAAATATACCATTTTTATAATAATTCAATAGTTTCATTACATCTTGTGGAATATCTTTCCAAATCTTTTGTAATTAGTCACTAAATACAGCGCAGTCAGTTAATTAAAGTTAGAACAAAAAGCCACGTTTATAGAAAACTCGCTCTAAATATAGCGTAGAGGAAAAAAAGAAATCTCTTCAATCTCATTTGTACAAGGATTGCGACTTTCGTATTTGTTAGTCATACTTTCCTTGAAAAATAATGGCATATAACATTTTCTTTTTTGCATATTTATCTATCCAATGACTGTTGATCAATCTTAATACTAGTGAGTAAACCTTTTAAAAAGAGGAAATTTTTTGTGTTTGTATTACCCAGCAATTAATTGCTGGGCATTAATTAATTGCATTAAAATCAATCCAGCTATTGTATTAAATCAATGATCCCCCTGAAGCAATTGTATTAAAATCAATCCAGCTATGCATCATAAAATTAATTTTTTAAAAGTAGAAAATTTCTTTCTTTTAATTTTCTTGTTAAGACCAGGAGAATTTTTATTATACTAGTAGAAACTGGTAAATCCAGTAGAGTTGGCAGATAATGACATTATAAATTTGATATTGCAAAATAATTTAATCAAATTTTGAATGTTCATTGAATAGTTATAAATATATTCAGATAAACAAATCTTCGTATTTTTAAAACTAGTAATAGTTTATTAAAACTTATTGTATTTTAGCTATTGCATTGATATATTTAGTAAATCTTATCTCTACTTCTATGGCTGCGCTGTTTAGTTAAATTTTGAAAAATTTGATAACCCACATCTAAGTTAATATTAAAAATCGATTTATTATTTGAAAGCTTATATTACACTCAGCATAAATAGACCGTCTCGCTCCTATACTAAGTGTTCTTAAAAATTTTTTTTCATGGGTATCTCCAAGATGAAATGCTAGACAATGTCAATTCGCAATGAATGTTACACTATTGAAAAATATAGTTTATGCTATTGCTGATTGCCTGAAATATGTAAAATGAAAACATACGTCATTCCTTTTTCTTTCCTTCAAAAAAAATTTTTTTTTTGTACAGAACGATTATAAATGTTCTATTAATGTAAAAAGAAAAAAATTTGGTTACAGTGAAGTTTAAAATAAATGTGCTATCCACTTAGTAATTATCTTCATTTAAAAAATAATAAAAAAACAACAACATTTTTTTATTTGACTTTTGCTATTTTAACATTCACAGTTCAGACTCTTAACACAAAAGGGGGGTCAGATTTTTGAGACTTTACCAAAAATAAAAGTATTTAAAGTGACAGTAGGGAAAGGATGCCAAAATAACCAGTAAATATATAACTGCATAAACAAATTAAAAAAACAAACACTTAATACAATATACTAAGTACATTTTTGGGTTCAGAATGTACTGTACTTTTAACACGTTGAATGCCATGGGGGTCACTGGTGACTGGCATTGAGTTTGTTCGTAGCGCTACCGGTGAAGTCAAGATTATTAGAAATGCATAATTCGTGTAAAATTTGAATGCTTTAAATTTTTTTACATTATTATCTTTACTAAAATGGCTTGAAGAAATTAATGCAACATAGATCACACAAAAATCATTTGGGCCAGACATGTAAAATTAGTGTGGCATTCAACGTGTTAAAATAGTCTATTCCCCTATAAAGCTTAAGATTGGCGCACCAGCAAGGTAGAGGATATCCAAACGCCATTGTGTACATATGATCAGGGGTGATTGTAAGCCCAAGTCAAAATTCCGGAAAATTTCTTGAGTTAAAAAAAAAAAAAAAAGTTTAAATTTAAAAAAATTTAAACAAGTTTTTTTTTCTCCCTTTCTCTCATTTCTTAGTTTACTTAAAATATATTTAAAATTTTACACATACCTATGAAGACCTGGAGAAGTAATTAAAATGTACAAATATGTCTTTCTTTCTTGAGTTTATGATTATAATAACTATTTACTGATAAAAAATGAATATTAATCATGAATATAAGCTTATAAAGTATCTGGCTCTCCCTTACAAGCAAATAAAAAAAACTGTGTTTTTAAGTTCCACCTTAGAAAATTTGTTTTCCGCAAACTTCTGTGATCAATGATTTTTTGAAAAGTCTGGACCTTCAATCTCCAGAAACTTGCGGATCACTGTTAGTGAAAAATCCGGATTTTTTTTCCAGAGCACAATCAGCCATGTATGATTAATATTTATTTAACATGCTCCACAAAGAAATATTTCAGCCAAGAATTGATACTAACTCAGTTAGTACAATTAATTTGACTTTCCACAGGATTTTGAGATAATGTTAATAAAAGAATTGAATTTTATCAGTCTACTTATTTCAAAAGGAAGTTTTACCGTGTTCATCATTCATGGATCAAGATATAATGCTGTGCTAAAATTAAGGACCGTGGTGAACAGTTATAAATTTAAAACTTTTTTATGAAAATCACTTACCAGATTTTAAAAAAATGAATAAAAAGTCAACTCAATTCAATTTTATCAATTTATTTAAAAAATAAATACTCTTAAAAAATTTATATAAATGCTACGTGTACTCCTGTGAACGTGAAGGTACAATTGTTGCTGATCCTAATTCTTTAGATGAACAATCTTCACAGGTAACAGTAAGGGAGCCATCACTGTAAGAAAAGAAATCTTAAATTAAAAATACATACGAAATGAAAACAATAAATATACCACTGAAATTAAAAAACATGTTTCTGAAATTTGCTTGAAGATATATCTTACCAATTGGGTTTAGGATGAAAATTTGATTTTAGTGGATTTGTCACAATTTTAGCATAGTGTAGTAAATATCATGTCAATCAAAATTTGCTTGAAGATATATCTTACCAATTGAGTTTAAGATGAAAATTTGATTTTAGTGGATTTGTCACAAGTTTAGCATAGTGTAGTAAATATCATGTCAATCAAAATTTGCTTGAAGATATATCCTACCAATTGGGTATAAGATGAAAATTTGATTTTAGTGGATTTGTCACAAGTTTAGCATAGTGTAGTAAATATCATGTCTATCAAAATTTGCTTGAAGATATACCCTACCAATTGGGTTTAAGATGAAAATTTGATTTTAGTGGATTTGTCACAAGTTTAAACAAAGTGTAGTAAATATCACGTCAATCAAAAGTATACATTATGGAAATCAATATCTTTCAAGATATAAACGCCATTGATATGTATAGTCTCAAGAATGGCTAGTTTATATTCGTAACGGTTAAGGTATTACACATGAATGATTTGTTACAGAGATATACTATTTCATGATTAAAGGAGCAGTCTTAAAACATCTTAACACACGCAATGCACATGTTCTACAATTCTAATGAAGTTGAAGGTAAAATATTTTCTTGTATTTCTGTAGTTTATAGGATAGCAAAATAGATGTCTCATATTTATTATTGTTTGTTTAGGTTATTTCATGATATATCTTTAAATAGCTTTTTTTTCTTCTTAAAAAAGGTTGAATTTTTTTAGCATCTTTCGAACATCAGTTAAAATTAAAAATCAAACCTGCACTACTTTAAACCTGTTTAAGGCCTTATAATGCCAACTAAATTTGTGATGGGTCAAAAAATAAAGAAAACAGTAGTATCAATCTAAAGAAATGTATACTAAAAAGCTAAAACACACTAAACGACAAAATAATAAAACATATAAGTTTTTTTCTTCCAGAAACACTGCATTTTTTTCCCCTGACAGAAGCATTCTGGATACCCCCAGGCTTTGCTGTGTTTTTAAAAAGTTAAGAGTAAGAGAAGATTGGAATAAAGTGAGATCTAATTGGTGCTCTCATATATTGGGCACATAATTTAAATTCCTTTTAACAATACTGTATTCATTCAATAAAAAACAAAACAACTAAGAATTTTATAGCTTTATTTAAACAAGTGTTCACCAGTATATTGTACAGGTTTAGATAAAAAAAAAAAAAAACAATAATAACAATAAAAAAAAAAACAAGCTAATACCTAAATTTCATAAGTATTTTCAAACAAATACCAGAGGGAAAACTTATCTAATGTAAGAAAATACCAAAAAAGCTTGTTTTTATAATGTAATTACAAAAGATCTAAAGATGATAAAGGGATGCAGACCACACAGTTGTTACATTTTTTAAAAGAATAACCGTAAAATATCCTACGTTTTAAAAAACTGACTTGTTCTATATTCTTTTTTTGAAATGCCACACAGTAAAAAGAATTTACCAAAATAAGGAGAGAAAAAAAAATTACAACATTGTTGGTTTTATTGATACAAAACTCATTTGACGGGGTTGAAAATCCTATTTTAATTTCAAACACCTTTTATCACTTTCTATGTCCAAGTGGTACAGATTTTCATAAATTTTTTATTTTTAATATTTGTTTATTTAGTCGCTTTAAAAATAATCAAAATACAATAATATGAATACAACATAAAATTTAAAATTAATCATTTTCAAAACTTCGTGTAAAAAACACAAGATCTTGAATTGTTTACTTCACCTCAGTGAAACTCAAGTGTTACTTACTTTGATAAAACCACATCATATTTTCAATAACTGTTTATATAGTTGATAAAAAAAAGATTCAAAATTAAGAATTATTTTTAAATGTGATTTTTTAAACCAATAACTTTTTTGTTCTGAACCTAAAAATTGGAATTACTTCTATTCAGTGAAAGCATGGGTTTAAATAATTGAGCTTATACATTCAAAATATACTTATTTTGATAATATCATATTCTTATTGACAAAAAAATATTCAAAATGAGATTTTTTTTTTATTGGACTAAAAGCTTGTCTTGTTTGTGTTCAAAGTTAAAGATTTTGAATTTACTACTTCTTTTCAGTAATGCATGCTTTTTTATGCGATATAAATGTAGGAAAAAACAAACTTAATTTTTCTTTAAACTTGGGTATTGCTTAAAATATAAAAAATTGAATAGGATTTTCTTTCTATGTTAAATAGAGCTAATTAACATAATCACAAAAAACTGTATATCCACACCTGCCAAACTGGGGTAACTTGATTTGCGACCAGTCTCTTAAAAGATTTTTACAAAATCATATAATTTTTTTGTGCCTTTACTGCTAAGACTAGAAATACACTATTCAGAATTTTTATTTTATTTTACTTTTCTGAAATTTAAAGCAAAGACCAAAGATGAAAATTTTCTTACAAACTAAATATAATTCGAATCCCAGCAATAGCTGGTCGATTCAAATTCTACACCCTGCTTGCACCGACCACAGAGCTGACGTAAAATATCCTCAGTGGTAGATGGATCATGGGTTAGAGTCCCCTTGCCGCCAGGCTAACCGTGGGAGGTTTTCCTCACCAGAAGTTTCCTGTCTTCTGGATTGGGTTCGAAATTACAAGGCTACGGAGTTGAACATTAGTAGTTGAAAACCCAAAATTGGGGCGGCTGTTCAACTACATAAATATATAAACATGCAAGGATTATTTTAACTGTTCATAAAATATGAAAAGACCATGGAGGTAAATGTGTCTTAAAGTTAACTTAGATTAAAAAACAAATTATTTAAACAGGGCGCACAGCCATATCTTTAAACAAAAAATAAGCACCTTTTAAGCACTCACATTTTACACGATCGAGGTAAAATAACTAGTTTCTGACAAAGAACTCTTTTTCTTGATTTTATTAGACTCAATAAAAACAATTTATAAACAATTTTAAATATGCTCTACATTGAGAGGCTCATTCTACTTTTTAAATTAATAATTACTTAATTTTATTATGTAATTTTTTTTAAATTCAAAATTATATTTAATTTAACTAGCATTTAAAAAGGTTATTGAGTGTTTTAAAAAAATTTAAATAGACATTATTTATCATATCGAATTTATAAAGATATGTAAAGAATTAATCAAACTTTAATAAATTCATATTACAAATGTTAATTAGTGAATGGCCCCTAATAAATTTTATTAAAATAAATTTTCATTCAGTATTTCTTTAAGGAAATTAAATTAAAAAAAAAATAGTTTTGAAATGTAAAGACGATGAGTATTAAAATTAAACATTTTGTCAGAATTATATAGTCCTTACATTCATGTTTAACAAATTAGAGATAATTTAACTTTTTACTTCAATAGTTTTTAAATCAAATAATTAACAGATAAATTTAAGTTTTTTGGTACGACAAATCAGAACAACATAAGATTTTTTGCTGCATTTAAAATATTGAAACCCCCTCACTTAAATGCCTTTTTAAAATCTTGCCCCTAAATATCATAAGTCTTTCCATAAAACAAATTAAGAGCACGAAAAATTTCAAAAGTAATAATAAAATAATAAAAAGTAATTTGTATAAAAAAGTATTAAAGTACAATAAATTTTAAAGGGGGGAAAAAGGGACTATTAGGGCAGTAAAAAGGAATGTTATGGAAAAAATTTGGGAATGCTTATTTGGTCCCTGTGATCAGCGAAAATTCGATAATTTTTGGGTTCAATTTCAGTGTGCGGAAAACGAAGGCTGACATTGAGAATGTCTTGCAAAATGCAGCAGCGATACAATTAAAAGAGTAAGAATCCGTCCCAATGTATCCAGCTCACTATACGCACACACAAGTATTCCATCAAACATGTAAAATGATTAACGCAATCATATGCCGGGGAACAACGGTATGCTGAGATGGATTGTAAAATGTTGAATAGAACAATGTGATAACCACATTTATTGCATAATTCAAGGCGAAAATTGACACAGTAAAGAAAAATAACTCATTTTGGAAAAGGGAAAAATTGAAGAAATTTTAAAAACACCCAATGAAAAAAGCACCTTTAAGGGTTTTTAAAGACAAAAATAATCACAAAAATGCTATGCACCCTGTTTAAAATTTAATTTATAGAAAACAAAATTTACCTTCTAATAAAGAATGTAAAATATACATCTCCTTCTGGTAGATTTGGCATGATAAACTGGAAAAAAAGAATAGTAAAATTTAGTAGGGTAAAAAAATTGCTTAACATTATTGTTCCTTAACTGAAAAACATTCTACACATTACTAGAAAATTGTGAAGGGTTAAATGCAAGGATTTAAAAAGTGCTATTTGCTAGCTAAAAAACTATTTTATTTGTTACTATCAGTAGAAATTATAAAACAAATCAACAGAAATAATTTTACAAATACACTGTTTTTAAAAATGAGAATTCTGGAATAAACAGATTTAAAACAAATCAAATGTAGTATTTTTTTTATAAATATTAAAACAGAGATTTATTAGTGCATAATGAATGAGAAACAACAAACTCCACAAGTCCATTCACCCTCTGGAAATCAAAAAACAAAACCAGGTCGCGCAGAAAATCCTTCTTTTCAAATTCCACACAGCTAAGGAGGTGGGTCGGGCTGGCTGGAGAAACATTTCTTGTTTCTCCAGCCAGCATGAACAAGACCTTTCGCTGCTGTTCATACCTCAAGCACTTAATGTGACCACTGATGAATCTAGTGAACTCTGTTTGATCGCCTCTATTACCCCTGAAGGTCAGCTTTATTAGATAGTGAAATCGAATTTGAATCATCAGAAAAATATATTTCAGAAGAATTTAAGAAGCTATCGAGTAAAATTAAATTATTTTAAGCTATTGGTAATCTGGTAATCAAGTACATATTTTAAGTAGACACGTTAGTTTTGTAAAATTTGATGTTTCATCTAATTGCAGGGCTGGAAGTCCAAAATATAAAAATTAAGGACAATATTGCCTCCAAACTTAAGGACAATTTTTTAGGATGCTGATGCTTTAATGTGAGCAATATGACCAAAACGGGTTTGAAGATATACAATTGGTAATAGTTTTAGCAGTTCTTGCACTTAAGAGGAAAAAAGTCAGATTTTTTCAAAGCTACAAAAATATTTAGCTCTTGCACCCAATGTCTAAATTTCAGGACCATAGCCCAAATGTATTTCAAAGTGATAAGAGTCACGTATAAATTCATATTATAATAGAGTTTTTTTACTTTGCATACACAATTTTCTTAAAGAATAGCGCAAAACTGGCATTAACTAGTTTAAAGAGAGTCAACAGCTTGAAGTGAAAGAAAAATTGATCCACAATAAATTCATTAAAATCCCTCATTTAAAAATCTAAACTATATACTATTTATTTAAGAACACAGACACTAAATAATACAAAATTAAAATTGAGTTAACAATACGCTAAATAATGCAATTACTTACTGTTGCTACTAGACTACTGGCTTCAGAAATTCCTTCATAAATTTCAACTTTATAATTGGAGCTTAGGGTGGCTGTAAAACTTTGTGTGACAACTGTTGGTATTAAAGTCCCTTTGCTACATAGGAGAAGCTCTTCAGGAGAATTGGAGAAACCTATTAACTAAAAAAAAGAAAATGCAATTTTAATAAAAAGAAATGTGTGTTTATATATACAGTGCACTCTCGCTACTATGATATCCGATACAACAATAACTCCCTCTATTACGATAATGTTTCTTGGTCCCGACGAACTTTCATATGAATTAATGTTATTCTTCTCTCAATATTACGATATTCTCTTAAGCAATAAACCTCTGTAAAAAGAATTTTTTTTCCAAATTTTGTACCGTATTTTCTCCATTTATTAATGGTTTTCAAATGTAAAAAATCTCATTTATCAACTTTTTCCCTTTTTTTCTGACCAGAAAAGATTCACTGTTGACCACCCCAAGACTTTCCATTCTTAGAATTGCCTCCCTTATCTCTTAAGAAGTCACAAATGTAACATTCCTACAATGATTTCATTTCCTTCATGTTAAAAACTGATCATGACTCAGAATTACCACAAGCATCACATTAACACCAGAAAGAGAATTTTTTCCATAGGGGGAGGGTGGAGCACCATTCACAAATGAAAATCATTTTCGTACTTTGAACTAAATGCATACTTTGTTGGTTGACTTAACAGTCAGAAGAATGAATAAACTAACAAAAATATCGAATTATTTTCAATAAAAGCGATTTTCAGTTTTGTTTGTGATCTTATTTTATTTCAATTGTTTTTAATATTTAAACATAATTAACCTATCTGCAAATTAATATATACATTTATAGTTAATACATATATAACATTAAAATTGTAAAAAAAAAAGTTATATTGTGCCCCCAAAATATGTAGGCCCTCGATATAACAATATTTCCATCCACAACAATATATTTATTTGGTCCCAAAAATATCGTTGTAGTGAGGTTTTACTGTATATAGTGAACAGTGGCATTCTAGTCAGTTATTAAAGAAAAAACAATGCTCATTTCTTTCAATATAAATAAAGTTCAATAAGACAATTTTAAAACATTTTCTTGTATTTTTGTTGATATTTAACCATTAATTTGGCTAATGTCTGCCAAGTAGCTTTAATCTCTGCATATGTGGTCAACAAATTTGACAGTAGATACTGTAATTGAAGACTTTTAGTTTAATTATAGCATCTATTGTTTGTATTTTATTTTTAAAATCTGCTCAAATTTTAATACTGTTTTTAGATAATCCATTTGTTACAGATAATCCATAGATTTAGATAATCTATAAGTAATAGCAAACAGATCAAAATTTTAAGTATTCGAAGAACTATTCAAGCCTATTGTGTCTCAATCAACAGAAAATACAATGTGAGTTATTTAAATTTATTTCTAAACTTGTACACAACTTCTTAAATAATTATACAGTCTGAAGGAAAAAAAAAATCTCAATTTTGAAAGATCAGGAAAACAAACTATATAGATGACGCTTAGCTTGATCAAATTCTTGAACTACAGTTCAAGACATTTTTAATAAAATCTGCTTTGAGCTCTATTATGTAAAAATGTGCTTGTTACACTATACTTCTGAGAATATAACACATTACTATATATTTAATTCACTATATGCAGATTCTAACACCCAGAACTGAATATACACACAAAATTATTTCAACTTATGCTTGCTCTAAATTAAAAATATTAAAAGTACCTTTAAAAATAAATCTTTAGTTAGCATATTTACAAAACAATCTTCTTCATTCACATGTTGTGTCACAAAAGTTGCCTAAAATAAAATTGAACATAAATAAATAAAAACCAAAAGGATATAGATACACTGATTACATAGCTGCCAACCTAAGGAATCAAAAATTAGGAACACTATATGCGACAAAATAATACCCAAAAATTACTAGAGTAAGACCAAAATTTAGCTATTAAATAATAACATTAATAGACATATATTTAAATACCGTATGTAAATTAGTAAAACAAAACTAGAAACGCAATCTTTTGTGGGAAATTAATAATATTAATACTTTATAATTAGGAATAACGGTACAATAATTGAAAAACAACCGTTACCTATTAATATATAATTCCTCTCAAAATTACAAAACACAGGTAAATAATAATCTACATCATAAACAAATATTTCTGATGCAAGTGTTAAAATAGTACAATAAATTTTAAAAAAAATAATAATAGTTGTTAAGATTCATCTTGGTGAAATGATCAGCAACAGCTATTGGAATAGTATTTTTTAATAAAAAGCTACTAAAAATTACTTCAGCACAATAAACACAGGAAGCATGGTTGTGGCGATCAGAATAAGAGATAGGTTTAAGTGCAAAAATACTGCAATTTTATGAAAATTCAATTTTTTTTAATAAAAATATCAGATTTTCAGATTTGATTTAAAAATTAGGAACAAATCCAAAAAATTCAGAACAGTTGGCAGCTATGTGATTAGCACAATGATGGAATGGGTAATTAAAACAGCCTTCTGACAATTTTCTTATTAGTTGCATACAAGATTAAAACACAATATAAAAATGCACAATGACCAGAAATTTACATTTATTTATAAAACGTGGGAAAAAGCATACACAAATTTATTATTTTAATCTAAAGATAAGAGAAACACAAAAAATCTTATTCAAACACATACAAAATACAGTAGAGTGCCGATTATCCGAACTGACCGAAAGTTTAGAATACTTTTTAACTTATCGACAATTTTTCTAAATTTAGAAGTATAAATAATATCCACTACATCTGAAGACCATATTTAATTTACAACTTCAGCGAAACGACCCAGGAAGGATTTAAAATTTTAAATGACGATGAAACTGTCGCTGAAATTTTTAATGAAAATCGGAACTCCACAGACAAAGAGGAGATCAAGATCAAGATATTGGACCTTCCCATATAGATGCATGCAATTCGTTAGATAATTAATATCAGAACCACGTTTGGTCCCGAGCAGTTCGGATAATCGGCGCTCCACTGTAATCAAATTTTTTAAAACTAAAAATTTAAAACAATTTTTTTTTTTTTTTTTAAAATTTCCCTAATCATTTTTAAGCAATTTAGGGAGAAAATTAATCTTAATTTTGTTATGAAAATCTTTTCTCCTCAGGTGCTAAATTTTTTAAAAAATCAGGAGTTAAATCCTTTTTTTGAAAGCTGATTAAATTATCAGTAAATAATAAAACTAAAAATTTTTCGATTTAGTTAATTAATAGACCAATTTATGATCTAGTATATTCAACATTTTTTAAGGCATATTCATAACATAAGAGGTACTTTTATAACAGTATTAACAGTAATAATAATAAATGCATCTTAAGATTTTGTAAAAAAATATATGTATTTGATTTTAAGCCTGCGTATCAATTTTAAAACCAAAATTACTTTTAAGCTTGCATTTCAAACAAATAAAAATTCAATATTAATTTTATAATAAACAATGACTAATCAAAAGAATTTCAATTTGTCACTTTTATTTTTGTAATATTGACCCAATATTCATTGAGTAAAACTAAATAGACATAAAATGATGTACGTTCTTTTTATTCAACAGAATAAGTTTTAATAAAAATCTCAGTAGGTTCTTCAGTTTCAAATTGAAACTCGAAATTTTATTAATAAGTAACTAACACCTTAACTTATGAATTAAAAACTTCTAAAACAAATAATTAAATTTTATGTTGCCTCAAATTATTTCATTTATTGCTTAGTTAAAATTATTTTTATTAGCAATATTCTAAATTTTAGATTTGTTTGGTGGGGGGATAAAAACAAGTTAACCATTTTGTTGACAATTTAATAATGTTTTGCTGCTAATAAACCATGAAAATTATTCACTAATTTACAAAGCAGATATTTTTGAAATTAATGTTTTTAAAGTTACTTAGGAATGACAAATAATTTAAAATATATTTAAACCCCATCCAAATTATATATAAAAAAAATCTGATAATGTTCAGTAAATTTGTTAAAAAAAAAAAGTTTTTGTTTTTTGAGAACCATTGCCTAAAAATTAAGTTTTATAAAAAATTCTGAAAGATTAATTTAAATAAGTTAACTCACAAGCAAAAAATAAAGGTTGTTGGAAAGAGTGAGAATCCTATTTTGCACAAATCAAAAATTTTAAAAGGACTTAAAATTTTTGGTCGATTTTAAAATTTTAATTACTTTGCAGTTAGAAAATTTATAGAAGTTTGCAGCCATAACAAAAAAAGATACACTAAGGCAATTCTTTTGAATAAGGCTAGTTACAATATAGAATTTTACCACCACATGTAACACTTTACCATACATTCATAAATCCAGAACATAGAATAAAATACCTGCTTAGCTGCCCCAACAGCAATTACTTCATCAGGACTAATACTTGACAATATTTTGGAAGATGGAAAAAGATTGGAAATAAGCTGTTGTAATTTTGGTAGTTTACATGAGCCCCCACACAGAATAACCTAAAACAAGAAGTCATTTATAGGGTTAATACTATTTTAGACTATTATGAAGCTTTCAAAAATAAAATTATCTTTAAATCTACATTAATGTTCTGCAGCAATTAAGAGGAGTTTAAAATCAGAAAACAAAACAATTTTTGGAAAGAACAGTTATGTTGAGTTAATGAAATAGCCTAACATACGAATTTTGTTTTTCAATGCAACATTAAAAATAAAATATATATTCTATCATCGATGGTAAAATTATACTATTATATTATACTAATAATTTAAAAAAAATTTAATTAAGCCAGATATTGTTAAGGATTTATGTTTAAAAGAAAAAAATAAGGACACGAGGACTATTTAGAATTTTATGGTTCTAACTAAAAATGCAGAAAAACAAGCAAATGCACAATATAAAATGAAAACTACAAGTTTTGAATGAATACTTTAATTATTTAGAAAGACCTTGTTAATCAAGATATGGATATTTGAGTCAGCTTCAACTAGATTAAAATTGTAACAACGTAAGAAAATTAAAACAATTTGCCTTTTTTGAAACTGAATGAGCAAATTCCTTTGCATTTTTAAGCTATAGAATTACAGAATAAAGCTCTCCAGATGCACAAACATGAATTTGATCACGCATTTATCAATTCTTTCTCTCTTTTTTTTTTAAATAAATATAAATAATGATATCATATAAAATACAAAAATTTTTCTAAAATTTTTCTTTTTAAAATTATTATTTATTTAGAGATATAATTTAAAGTTGCTTAAATAGTTTGATGTGTCAATACATTAAGATTTGGAAAACATAGAAAGAATCAGATTTCAATAAAATTATCATGCAAAAATAAAGCCCATTAAATATAAATATGAAAGACCTTGTTAGTAAAACTAACCATAGAACCTCAATTTGGCTCAACATATAACTTAGTATTACTTAGTTTTTAACATCCTTGAAAATGCAACACAGAAAATATATATTTTTTAAAAACGATAAAAGATAAAAAAAACTATTCAAATAAAATACTCAGCAAAATAGAAGAAACACATAAATTCCAAGTTAAATGACAGAAAGAAATAATTTGACATACTGTGTTTATATCGTTAGCGGTTAGTTCAGCTGCCATCAAAGCTTCTTGAATAGGTTCTAAACATTGCAGTAAAGTGCTGTGAATAAGCGAATCAAACCTGGCTCTAAAATTATAAAATAAAATAAATTAATCATAATTTTTAAAATAATATATACAAGTAACATACTCCTTTCAAAAACTTGAAAAATTTAAGTATTTTTTTCAATAACAATGCCAATAAATGCCTTTTGAAACACATATTAACAATTAAACCTAAATTAATAGTTTTGATTAAGATGCTAATTTTATGTGAAGAAAAACTAAAGCGTCATTTGTTATAGAACGTTTGATTTGAAACCATCAACTGTGAAAAGAAAAATTAAAGATCTGCCACATGGTTTTGCTGCAAGAATTATTATTTTTTTATCCCAGCAAGTTTGCAAATTTTCGAAAATTGTCATTCTAATTTCAGTGTCACAGGAAAATAATAAATGAATTAAATGCATAAACACTAATTGTTTTTAAATTATGAAGATATTTTACGATGCTTTAAATAACTAACTTAATAACCAGGGATGAATTTGGTAAGAAACCCAAAAAGTTGAAAATAGAAAACTATAAACGTTCATATATCCATTGAACTTTATTAAAGTTTTAATAAAAAATGTCGACGTGACACGTCAATTGCAATGAGTAAATTTAAAGAGTAAATCTTGATCGCTATGTGATTTTTAATTATGTGAATATAATTTTGAATGTTGCTTGCCTAGACATAAAAAAGCATAAATGCACCACCAGAATTAACTTCGCTAACTACAGGCATTTCTTTTCCTGGTATTAACGTTATAATGTTAACATTATATAGATTATCAATTCATAGTTATTTAGGAAAAAGCCTAAGGGTAGGTATGTCTAAAATTTTTTTTAAAAGATTAGGTGAAACCTACAAATTTCAACTTTAAAAGTTGCACATACAAGAATTTGCTTTTTTTTATTTCATATTATCAAGAATAATTTAGAAAATCTGATATTTTTTTAAAAATGTGTACAGGTCAATACAATTTTATCTTCATTTGATTTCTAACTAACATATTGAGCCACCAGCTTTATAAATCCATGAGAATATTGAGCCCGAATAACAATAGCTACAATTTAATTTATTATTTGATTAGTTCGTAATAATAATAAAATAATCTTAACAAGTTAAAAATTTTAATAACTTTAATTACATTGTTTTTTAGATATTAAGCATTGTTAGTATCTATTATCTGAAAATTAAATAATAAATGTAAAAACATTTCAATAAAAAAAATGAAATCCAATCTTTTGGATTTTTAAAATTATGGTTTCTACAAATCCTGCTCGCTACATTATTTAATAAACAAATTTAACTACTTGACTTAACTGTTATAGGCATGAATGTAAAATATACTAAAACAGGGTGCATAGCGAAATCTTTCAACAAAAAATAAGCACCTTTTAAGTACTTTTTAAGCACTCAAAAAATATTTTGAAGCACTATATACATTGACAAAATGCAAAATAATTTTCAAAGACTTTAGATGATCACGAGAAAATAACAAGTTTCTGACAAAGAGCTCTTTTCTTGGTTATATTAGCCGTTATAAGACGATTTTTTGGTTTGATATCTGAGGGTGGAAAATGAAGTCTGAAATTGAGAATATCTTACAAAAATGCAGCAGAGTTGCACATGAGAAGGCAATAATCTCACCGAACTCAGCTCAGTAGACGCAAGTATTTCATCAAATATGTAAACTGATTGGCGCTTTCATACGCTACGGACCGACGGTAAGCCGAAACAGGGTTGCCACTCAAATCTGGAAAAAAAATTCCCTGTACTATTATACACAATATATTAAAAGGAAACAACAATTACTGTGCTCTTTTGTGAGCTATATAGGGCTAACTACATTTATTAGTTTTAATTGGTGGGAAAACAGCTGAACATATTTAAATAATGTTATAGTAAGTGAAATAGTTTAATATAGCTGAAATATCATAGCTAAATATCCCATAGATTACGCTTTGAGTGGGAACCATTTTTTAAAAGACAAAAATAAGAAACAAAATTCCCTGTATTTTCCCAGTTTGCAAGGAAAAAATCAAAATTCCCTGCATTTTCCCTGTTATTTTAGGTGATTTTTAAATTCCCTGTATTTTCCAGGTTTCCCCTGTTCTCCATGTAGAGTGGCAACCCTGCGAAATAGATTGTGGTTAAATGAATTCTGAAAACATTGAATAGAACAATGTAAAAAACATGCGTTTGCATAATCCGTGGCGAAAATCGGTGCGGAAAAGGAAAAAAGTATGATTTTTGAAAATGGAAAATTAAAGAAATAAGCAACCCAATGAAAAAAGCACCTTAAAAGGGCTTTTAAATAATGAAAATCGAAAATAAGCACCTTTAAGGAAACAATTTTTACTAAAGTGACAAATTATAATAAAATAAAAGCAAATAAAAAAACAAATCATTACTTGCTAATATTGACATTTAGATCAATTCCATCGTATACTGATTCTGCTTGGCATCTTTCATTGATGGAGCTATATACAACCTGCTTGTAGTGTTCAGCTGCCATTCTTACTTTCATAACTGAGCGTTTGCTTTCTTTCAAGTCTATTTTATACTGCCTGAAAGTATTATGAAAGGAAATACATAATTGTACTGTAAAAATGATACACTTAACAAAGCTAAAATTTGAATACTTTTTAGTATTTTATGCTTCTTGAAGCAAAATAAATTTAAATCAATTAGCATATCACATGACAATGAGAAAAAAGACGTTAATTAGAAAAAAGTGCTCATAGGATATATGCAATTAACACATTTCTTGAAGCACATAATTCAGTACGTTTTGCTACACACAGAAAACTAATGAAGTATGATTAAAACAATAAGGTTTATGGGGGGGAAATTAGCAGGTATTATGCAATAAAAGGCATAAATTAAAATCGATAAGCATCAATTGATTTTATGTTCTGAAAATGGTCTAACATGGGTGAAAGGTCTGATGGACGGCATGAGTATTTCAATTTCTAAAAATGTCAGCTTTCTTGACAAAACAAATTGATAAATTTCTGAAAATTGCAATGGGAAATAAAATAAAAAAAACAACAACAACCAAATAGCTTGATTGTGATAAAGACAAATGGCATAGGAAAAAACATTTAGTTTAAATTGACATTTTACTTTTGTGATAACAGGAATGTTAAATTTATTCACTTATATTATACTCATCATGATGTATAGGTTTTAATATAACAATAAATTTTTTATCATTATTGTATGTAAAAATTAATATCTTTTAAGGAACTTCAAAAATAAAAAAAGCAATATAATTTACATACATAATTTACAAAACATAAAAATTTTAAATTTTTTTCCAAAAACAAATGCATGTTATTTATATGCCATCAATCAGGCATATGGTGAAGGAGTTTACAAAATACAAGTCATAAAAAATAATCTCATTTAAAACTTGTCAAATTATTAAATCCCTAATTTTTAATACACATTTAATTTAGTTTAATTAATAAAAACTGTCTCATCTTAGGAATTTTAACTATATAAATGACACTTTCATTAGTAATTTAACACTGCCGTGGAAATTTAAATGTGGTAAATGTATGTAAAATCAATACATAAACTGCAAAATCAATATGTAAGTTCTATTTTTAAACATATAGAAACAATAAAAACCTTTTTATTATAAAATTTGTTTTTACTGAAATTATTTGATGACTGGATGAATAGACAAATTCTTTTATACTGACAGCCATATTTTCTTAATTTTTTACCTGGCTTTCCACAACAAATTAGTTTCTGATGTTATTCTATTTTAAAACAGTACTTGACTGGGAAATTCTTGTATAAACTGTTTCAAAGTGATTTATGATTAAAGAGCTAAGATTACAATGTTATGTGTCAAAGTGACACTCATAATATGCACGTCCATTATGCTCAATATCGAACACACAAGACGTTAAAATTATGCCACCCAGAGAACACTTTAATGGTAATTATTAAATGACATTGCGGATGAATACATAAATGTTCTACACTGAAAGTCAATTGAAACACATTTTTCTAACCTTATTCAGTGTGTGTAGCCAAATCTTTCATCAAAAAATAAGCATCTTTTAAGTACTTTTCAAGCACTCAAAAATATTTTTAAGCACTATATACATTAACAAAATGCAAAATAATTTTCAAAGACTTTACATGATCATGAAAAAATAATCAGTTTCTGAAAAAAGTGTTCTTTTCTTGATTATATTAGACATTATAAAAAGATCAAGAGGTTTTTCGGTGCAATCTCAGAGGGTGAAAAATGGACCCTGAAATTACAAATATCTGGCAAAATGCAGCCGAGTTGCAATGAGAGTGTAAGAATCTCACCGAATGATTGGTGGTGTCATACGATATGGACCGATGGGACACCAAAGTAGATTGTGGTTGAATGAATTGTGAAAACGTTGAATAGAACAATATGAAATATGCAGCGAAAATCGACATAAAGAAAAAAATCTCCTTTTAGAAAAGGAAAAATTAAGCACTTTTTAAAAACACCCAATGAAAAAAGCACCTTTAAGGGCATTTAAGAAATGAAAATCGAAAATAAGCACTTTTTAAAAACGCTATGCACCATGTTTATTAAATGTCTATCTGGTGTTGCACAATAGATTTTTTTCTCCATTGCCCACTTGTTAACATTTCAATTCAGGTACTTAGAGGGCTGATTAGTTGGCCACTCTTTTAGGGGCACCATATTAGGTGGGCCAACGTTGCTCCCACAGTAAGAGCAAGTAGTACAGAGAATGAAAGAACATCCATGAAGCCTGGGATTCAAACAAAGAACCTTTCGGATGCAAGACCAGTTCCACGATTCCTTCACATATCGGTCGGCCATAGATTGGTTTAAGATGCAAGGGTAAACTTGGAAATTTTCGCATAAATTGATTCAAGGTGTTTTAGGATTACAGTGAAAGGCTTGAAAAATAAGTGTCAAAATGACTTTCAAGATAATCTACATTATCAACATACCTTTTAAATTCATTGGCACAGAAGTCAACAATGGCATTAGTTATAAGATTACCACCAAGTGTTTTTCTTGATATAGATGAGATTACACTATACATGCCATTGTTTACGTCTAACACAGTTACATCAAGTGAGGTTCCCCCGAGGCGATATATCAAGCACTTGCTAAAAAAGATAAAGTTTAAAAAATGAAACCAGTTGGCTACTTATTTCTAAAATTACATGTCTGAAAAATAAAATATATTTGATTGAAATGTAAAATATTGAGAGAAAATGAATGACGAGCAATGCTATAACTAACAGTAGCCTTAAAATAGTTTTTGTTTTTTTTTTAAAAGACATACATTTTAATGGTTCCATAAAACATTGAAATTTGTATGCTATTTTAATAGATAGTTATGAGATTTAACATTTTTTCTGATAAGACTTTAAAACTAAACCGAGATTTCACTAAACAATGACATCAGAGGTGCCAACTTTTCCAACTAGCTATCAGGAATCAGAAATACAATATCACAGAAATATATTCAGTTAGAGTTTACAAAATTCAACTTCGTGCAATTTTAAGGTGTACATACGATTTAATTCTATATAGGTGTATAATATTAATAAAATTATGCATTAATTTACTATTACTAAGTGATATTATAAAAAAGTAATCCTTAGATAAAGGAACTAAATTGAAAATTATACAATACTTAAATTTTAAACTTCATTATAAAATGACAAAATTAAATTTATTGCTAAGAACTAATGTTCTAATTTTTAGTTAAATTACAAAAAAAACCCCAATGCTTTTTTATTTTATCATAATGCATTTGAATCCCTAAAAATCTATGCTCCCAGCATTTCAAGTTTGAGTTTATGTTCTTTTGCTTTCCTATATCACGAGAAGAGTCAGAATAGCTCGTTAGAAAGGAGAAAGATGGTCTAATTTATTTTTAGTTTTCATCATCATTTTTGTTGATGACAAAACAGCAAAATTCCATACCTCTTGGTAGTTAAGGAGGAAAAAAAACTTGTTTTAAACAGATCATGAAAAATTTAAAAAAAAACAACAACATATTTTTTATTACTCAAGTGAAAGACTTGACTATGAAATCATAATAATTAAGGATAAATTGTAATAGTTGGCCCAGCAGTGACTTTAAACTATCAAATAAAAATAAAAAGATGACTTTCTTAACAATAACTTCTATTTCAAATTTCTTTTATGCTATTTAAAGTTGAGTAGAAAAGTATGTTTTAAACAAGATAAAACATTTATATCATTAACTAAATGGAAAAAAATTAATTATTTTAAATTAAAATAATTGAAGTTACCAGGTTGTGTCTTGAGAGTCTTGACCGATATCATAAGCTAAAGCAGCAGCTGCAGACTCATTTATAATTCTCAGAAGTTTAAAACCAGCTCGATTAACAGCTTTTCTGTAGGGGAAAATAAAATAAATATTTTTAGATCAGTATTCAAAATTTATATTATTCTATAATGGAAGTTTAAGCAGTGTTTATGTGCAATAAATAAATTTTATTTTTAAATAACTTAAATTATCAAACTTTTTTTCCCAAGTAAATCGTTTTGATAAAGTAAAGAAATTTGAACTTTTGTTCGTACAATAATAATGCCATAATAAAAGACAATTCTAATAATTTAGTTTGATTGACTAAGTCAATGAGTACTACTGATTTTGCAATTTAAAAGAAGTGCTACTGTTTGACTTAAATTTAGACATACAGTGAAACCTGTGAATACTCTTAGTACATAGCTTTTGTGGTCAACTTATTGAAGGACTTTAGAAGTTTTTCTTCTGTCATTTCTTATATCATGCTGTTCTTATATGCACATAACAAATTGTACACATTATCAATCAAAATATTTTGTTAACATGACTTTAAAATTTCAGTTATAATTAAATAATGAATATTAATTAGTTACACAATTTGATCTTGAGCCGATTTTGTTTAAAAAAGAAATATGGATATTTTTTTAGTAATGCATGTCAAGTTATAAAAAGGCCTGCCAACAACTACACCTTTTGCAAAATATTTTACAAAGTGGCAGACATTTAAAAACGCTTCAGAATTTTTGGTAATTTTGCCAATATTTTAAAAGTGGTGTTGCATATGAACTTTTTAAATTATTTATCTGCAGTGGTGTGGAAAATATGTTCAAATGAATAAAAAGTAACATTTAACTTAGTAATGACAAAACTAAGTTAAATGTAAACTTAGGAACCACTAGAATAAATTTCTACAAAACGCATAGAAAATTGGCAGCTCTGTATAAACAATACAACATTTTAAAATTTATTTTGCTACGCTTACAAGTTTATTTGTTACAAAACCCTTCCACAGTTTCCTAAGCGATCAACTTTAAAAGGGCCTAGGTTTGCTCTTAACCCTTTTGTCATGGCAATGCACCATGCCACTGAAGTGGCTGCGCTAAGCAATGCACCATGCCGCGTACCTGTATATTGCATGTTAGTAAGATGATGTTTGGATCTTTTTATTTAAGTACTACACAATACATTTGGAGATTTTGCAGACATTACAAATGCAATTTAGGAAAATGAAAGAAAAAAAAAAACTCTTTAGAAATTGAATTTAGTATGTTGGATTTTAAAACTAGGCAAAAAAAAAATATGCTTAGTAGCATCAGCTAAATACACTACTTGAACAAACAGGGTCTTGCATGGATATGAGCAAAAAACATGGCACATCATAGCGAAAGGGTTAATACTATTTTCCCCAATTAAGTGCAATTTCAACAGAAATCACAAATGTACAGAAAATTTCTGATAGTTTTTTTTTGTTGTTAATTTATAAAGGGTACTAACAAAAAACCATAACACTAATGTTATTATTTTTCTTTTTAAAAAAAAAATTGAAAATCACACTTTAAAAACAATCTGAACCACTTTTTTTCTCCAAATCTTTGACTCTTTTTTTTAGTTCAAAGGAGATTTTTTCACTATTTATCTTTTAATAATTTACATTTCTTTCTTATATTTTAAAACACTGCTTCCTGCATAAGAAGCCAGCAATTGCGTTTGAAGACACTCATTTCAAAAAATGCTCCCCTACCAGTACCATCACACAATTTAGCATGCCCTTTTTCAGAATAATTGCACACATAAATTTTGAATTAAGATCTACCCAATCAATAACAGTTTTCATATTATGTACAACAGTTGGTTTATATTTTCAGAGCTTACTTTACGAGTAATCTGTGCATGGAAGTGAAATTAGAAGGAACTGTGACAATGGTGGGATACTCTTCTTCTTCGTGACTATGACTGCATGCAATATCTAAAATGTAATAATATGTGAACATTTGAAACTGTTCAAATAAACATTATAATTATATGGTATTATACAATAAATCAACAATAAATTATACAATAAATCAATAATTTTTTTTTTTTAAAAATTAAAAAAAAAGACCAATTTTAATTGTGTTGAAAAGCATCCCAAACAAAATTATTTGATTTTAATACATTTTTACCAAATAAGCAATGTGAAAATTTGCCAACCCTGCTCATTTAAGTAACTTCGGATTTTTATTTGTGTTTAAAAATTATTTAATTTTAACAATTACTTATGCCACATACTTCATAGAAAAGAATAGACAAAGGAGTTTTTAATGACGGATGTGGAACAGAAATTCCCACTATTATTATACAGTTATATTTAAAAAAAATTAAAAAAACATTGTTTGAGAAATTTCTTATGATAAGATACATGATAATGTATAATACAATAAAAACATAGTAGCCACACATAAAGTTAAAAAAAAAAAATTACTAAAATTATAACTTTTGATTAAAGTGAGGGAATGGTGTCATAGTATAGTATAAACATGTTTAAAATAATAATTTTAATGAATTTTAGTACAAGTCAGTCCTTAACTGCTTAAAAAATAATAAAGTGTCTCCCAATTTACTGAAATTTGTTTAACAGTCTATGTAACATTTGTTCAACAAGTGCAAGGTCACAACCCAAATGTCATCCATTTGAAAATTTCTGAATCACTGAGTGATAAATAATAATAATTAAAAAAAAAAACTTAGAAATAGACCAAAAAATTAACTTAATTCAAATGAACAACACAAGCGTTAATTTCAAAATATAAAAGTTGAACAAGAAATGTATAGGTATCACAGTGATAAATAATATTTTTGTGCTTGTAGGCTTGTTTTTGTTGAGTTGCGAGTGAGGAAACTAGATCATGTTAAAAAAAAAAAAATTCTAATTTTTTTTTATTTATTTCAAATAATACTTTGAATGTACGTGATAATGCAATAAAGACACTTTTAAACTATATACTAAACAAATAACTTACTCATTTCTCTATTAAAAAAGAAATTGAAATATTTTTCACTTACTATATTATTTTAGCCTGTTTGCAGAGAATAGCCCAAATGAGATGGGCCAAAATTGAAAAAAGCTGTAATCCTACATGACTTGTATAAGAGTAACAAATGAAACAAACTCTTAGACTTCACAATTGTATATGATAACATTTAAGAATAAACTATTGTTAATGTCTTACTTGTTTTATCAATTCAATTTTTAAGGTTCCTTAAACTAAAAGTTAAAATGATTTTAATGTATTTCCATGACATAAAAAAATTACATATAATATTCAAAAATATTTTATTACAACTGTAAAAGAAAGCTATACGTAAATGAAAACACAACACAATTTTACTGTAATGTTTTTTTTTTATAACTCTTTTGCACAAATTTAAGTTTTGGAGGCTTTAAAATACACCTAAATAAACTTAGTATTTTTCTCCTAACAGTATATAATATCCAAAACAACCATCATTGTACCATCAAAGTGAATGGGCAGTCAAAAACTTGCTATGTGATGGAAAATGGTGACTAGTCACGTAAAATCTGTCTGGTCACTAAGTCCTCCATGTTCCCAGAAAAAATCATACCCTGGTGATACTGAATAGGGGATTGATCGTTCTCTGGTTCAGGTCAAATTTACAATTTGTGGATGAATGAAAGGGTCTGCTTTATGAACGGGTGTGGCAGAAGTCGAATTCTTGGACAGAAATGGAGCCACTGGAAAACGAAAACAATTGCACCCCTCTGCCTTAACTTCCGATGACAACAATAACCAAAGTGAAAAGCAGATAGTGTGTGTTTTTCCAAGTATGAATTGTCTTAGGCGGTAACTTATTTCCCGATGGTAGATAAATCAAATAAACTATATATTTTAGACACTTAAATTGGTCTTCAGTTTTTAACATAAATAAGTAAAATTTTCCCAGGTAAAATCTTAATGAATATGAAATAAAACATTTTTATTACCTTTCATATTTTCAAACAGAATAGACAAAACATCAGAGAGTGCATTTTCAGGAATGATTCCATTTTTTTCCTGATCAACTTTATTTTTGTTGTTTACCTGGTTAAATAAAATGCAAGACAATTTTAATCAGTTAAAAGTTATTATTATTTTTTTTAAAAAAAAGATAAATACATACATAAAAAAATAGTTTTACCAAAAGTAAAAAAATTAAAGAGTTAGTCAACCCGTATGTTTGTAAAGTACCATTTTTTACAAATTATTAGAATTTTATTACTAGTATATTACAAATATAATCACAAATAAACAATTACAATAAAATATCATGTATTACCTTAGATTGAGCTTTGGGTAGATAATCTGAGAGATCTACATTTGCATCAGTGGATATTAAATCTTTTATGTTAGTAATGACATTCGTAGAATTTTTATTCATAGCTTGCTTGGCATCTAGACCCACAACCTATAGTGACATAAAAAGATAAATTATTTGGTGTTACTAAAATTAGATATAACAATTAATTTTAAAATTAAATAATTGAACTAATATCTAATTTAGATAGAAATATAAGATGAAGTTGGATAGATTTTTGTGTTCTGATTATCTTTAAAGCTAAACCATATAAAATTCTACTAATTACTTACTTTTTCAGATTCATTAATAAAAGCTATCACGGATGGAGTTACTCGATAACCTGCTGCATTAGCCAATACCTCTGTTTTTGAATCCTAGAAAATAAAATGTAACAGGAATTTTAGAAACATTTTCTGTTTGTCAAATGTAAAATACAGGTATAAAGACATACAATTTAAAAAAATAAAAAATATAATCTAGGTATCATCAATGATGGAGGAAAAGTTAATTTACAATCTCATTATTCTTTTTAAATTAGTGAAAAAAATGTTATGGTAACGTTTAACATAATGCATGAGCTAAGTTAATTTTAAATTATTTAGTGATTAATTCTTTATTTTATGATAATAACGTTGTTGGGAGTTACCACTACACATTATTTAAACTTAGTTTTAAAAATCCAAATGATTTAATACAACTTTATAGCATACTGCAAATTTCAAACCACACATCTCATTCTATTTTGACTTATCCAATGAGCAGATTCTACCAGAAATCCATGTGGTCTGCCAATCGCCAACTACAGCTACAGATTTCAACATAGTTTTTAAACTTTCAATATTTTAACATGCTATTATGATGTACCATGAATTCTGAGTCATGTATTTGAGTAATCACTACTCAACCTCACTTGATTAGCGACAATTCTACAGTGAATCTACATCTATTATAAAATTGTCCTATCGGTAGTTAATGTTACAAATTTTAACATGATTTTTAAAATCTCTATGCTTTAATACCATATTATATCATTCGGCTAATTTCGAATAGCACATTTGAAGAATACTATATGCACTCGATAATTGACGATTCACTCTTAAACCATTGAGGTTTTAGTGATGGCGTTTTCATGGTATTTAAAATCGTGACTTTTTTAAAGCTACATGGTTTTGAAATGGAAATTTCGAATTACGCATTTGAAGAAACACTTTTTGATACACTTGGTTTGCGATCAATTTTTAACAGTTATTGCTATGGATTTCCATACAGTATTTAAAATTTGATTTCTTCTTTGATACAATACTATTACAATCAGCAAATTTCAAATTGTGCTTTGATGGGCTCTAGCCATCACGATGCCACCTATGTTTCTTTATTTACTCTATGAAATGAAAAGCCCAAAGTTTCATTAAAGAAATATTTATTAAGCATTATAAATTAGACAGCAACACACTAGACCAGAACAGAACATGAACTAAAGGCCTGTTTAGACAATCCAAGTTCTTGGACAAAGATTGATTGACATTGATGGAAACTTGTTTTGCTTCAAGCTTGGAATGTAATGTGTAAACGATCATCCAAGTACTTGGACGATAGTAGAGCATGTTCTACCTTCCATCCAAGTTTTTTATCCCTTAACCAATCAGTGTCTTGGGTTTTGTGACGTCAACAAGCAGGCATCAGATTATGGCATTTTGTTGGCTGTTTTCATATATTTTAGTCCAAATAAATTGATCTGTTACAGTTTTTTTATGTTATTATGATTTTATTTGAATTTACTTAGTAATATTAAACTTATATAAGTATTATTTTATAATTCTGAATATGAACAATGCGCATACGCAAACATTTCTTTCGACCAATCAGTGACATTCAAGAACTTGGATAGTGTCGACGAATCATCCAATTTCTTGGATAGAGAGCTCCGTTCAATTTCTCAGATTTAAGAACTTGGACCGTGCAAACAGGCCTTAAGACTTTCTCCAAGCAATCCAAAACATCAATCACATCACAGTTATTTCGATACAATTAAAACACATATGTTACACCGTAATCGCAAAACTTGGCTTTCATGATATCCAAATTTTTTGATCATATAATAATGGAAATTTGATAAAAATCGTACTAAAGAGAAGGATTATCATCGTTGAAAATAAAAGAAACATTAATTTATACACAAGTACAAAGGAAAACTTAATACTTAAATAAGAAAACTAAATAAAACGACAATATCAATATACAAGACGACCAAAAAGAATGAAAATGGTCAAATATCTCTAAAAATTTGCATTGAGTTAAAAATCAAAAACATACACCTGTCAAATATTCATCTGACAAACAGAATTAATTTGTAACAGTGTTTATCATAACCACTGTTATCAGAGAGGAACTTCCACCCTGTGCCTGTCACTACCATGTATGAAGATTTTACTACAGACAACTAACAGTCTTTCCCGTTTTCATATTGGTCTATCGATGAGGTTAATCACCTTTTACAAAAGAATGATTGTTTTGAATAGATTTATGCATCTGTACCTGCATTGAAAAAGCTGCCAAATCATAGCGAAACTTAAATAGTGGCATGTAAGAGACTTATAAAAATAAAAAAACACCACAGAAGGTAACTGAGAACATTATTATATCCCTACTTGTATGTGCAAACTATTATTGCCCAAACCCTAAAAGCTTTTTGCCTTAGCAAAAATTAATAAAAAAAAAAGCTTGCTTCAGACAACAAAATTTGTCTTTCTTTTTTTAATAGGTACAAACGTGGAAATCTTCTTAAAAAGGCACTTAAGAGAAGTAAGTCTATTAATTAAAGAATATGAGAAAAAGTGTATTGCACAAAAGTTTATGTGCAGTGCATAAGGATGTTTAAATATTTTCTTTTTTATCAACAAAGTAATATTTTCCTCTGTTTAATGTTTCTATTTCTATAAATTTTATGTTAAAAGATTTTTAATTAATAAGAATTTCATTTGTTTCTTTTTCCTCTATAAAAAAAGAAAGAATCAAGTGGATATTTCAGTATCGTGATCTGTCGTGCCAACTACAATTGCCAAATAGATTTTAAACTTGCAATTTAAAAATAAAAAAAACATTTAGATGTTTGCTTGGGGGTGGCTACAAGTTATACCCTTCGAGTTGGTTCCTTTCTGTGATGTTTTTTTTTTAGTTTTTCGCAGGCAACTGCCCAGAAGTTTCTAAAACTTGGCGATAATTCTGCCACAGATCACAATCTCCCCATAATCTTAATAATTTGTTCAGTGAAACAAAAATCTATTACATTACACTTCAGAGAAACTTCTTGAAATAAAAACTACCAATTATCTATCATATGATGAGTATAACATTGTTTGTGATCTCGTATAGAATTATAAAACGACAACACATCATATACAAGTTTGATGCATATATATATATATATTTTTTTTTTGTATTTTACCAAAAAAAAAAGAATATTCCTAAGTATTTTTTAGAATTCAAGCTCAAGAGAATATTTTAAATCTCCAAGAATGTTCTTGCCTCTCATTCCTTCAGTTTTAATTTTAAAAGATCAAAAGACAATTTAGTGCAACACAAATGAAGTGAAACATAGAACATGAGATATTTTGAAGGTTAAATAAATAAAAATAAAGAATAACATTTAACATAGCATGAATGAAAAACCCTTTTCCACTAAATCAAATTTTGGATTTCAATAAAGTTACAAAATTTTAAAATAAATTAAGTTATTTAATTTTAAAATATTTAGTAGAAATAATAGCATTTACCTCTTTTTTTATGCACTATTTAATGCTACAGATACTTTAATATTTAGATATGTCTTAAAAACAACATAACATTTAACATAGTAAATAAACACATTTATTAAATGTTAAATATAGTAACAAAAAAAAAGGACCAATAATAAGGCAATATAACTAGGGTGACCAGACGCCCCCGATTTCCGGGGATTGTCCCCGGCGAGAACCTTGTGTCCCCGGTCTGTTTGCGTCCCCGGTTTTGTCCCCGGTTATAAAATTGAAAAATTTTGTGTAAAATATTTGATAAAAATATGTTATATGTAATTTTTATTTTCTCAAAAATTTTCATACAAATTAATGTAAGCATTGAAAATTAAATGTAAACTAGTTTTTAAGAACACACTATAACTTNAGAGAAAATTTAGTATAGAATTTGAACAATAAAAAAGTGTCCTTACTTTATGCATAGCTAAGCACATGTTGGAATTACCAAAGTATAGTCCAAAATAACACGTCATTTCATTAGAATTTTGTTTGCTCGGAATGCACTAAAATGAAAATTAACTAGGCAAAAATATTATTTAATTTCAAATAATAAATCACGTACTCATGTGGAGCGCCATGAATTTACGAATGTTATGAATCTGACAAGACGAAACTAGATCATACCGATAACCGCAACAACAGACTGCAATATCATTGGTAGCCGAGAGATAAAGAATTAGTGGAAGCTTCCTGAAACCAGAAAAAATTTAGAAGACTTCCGGTGTATCACTCTGCTTATGGTATGCTGCCGAGTCGATGCGTTATCAGGCTTTATATTCTAGGACGTCTGCTTAAATTTAAGCACAATTTTACCACGCGTAAGATTTCCCTGTAATTTACACATTTTAACTGGCCGTGAGCATAAAACAAATTTAAAAAAATTATATCAAAACATAAATTAAGTGTAAGATTTGCCATATTTTATTTGTCCATATTTGGCTATGGATGGGTGATCGTGTAAAGCTAAGGGTGGCGGCGCTAGTGGTAAAATTGCTCTTTCAAGACTTCCGGGTTACTGCTTCCGATATATTTTTACGCCGCAGATTGAAAAAACGCGCCATCATATTATTGCATTATATCTTTTGCAGTATTTCACATATACCGAGTTCTTTCTTTCATCCTTTAAACTTCAGCATTATCATATTAATATTATAATCATTAGAATATTTTCTAGTTAGGCTAACTTAAAAAGATATTTTTGGCGACATTTTATTCAAATGTAGCCAAACAAGGGATAAAATACAAAACATGGCAAACCTTAAGAATTATTCACATTGAGATATTAACTTTCCAAAATTTTTTTTGGCCTTACGACCTCTGAGAATCAATACATTTCTGAAAGCTCGTATGAATGGTACAATTATGTTTAGATTTGAACTCAAATTACAATAACAAAACTGCATAGAATATTAGGCTCGTTCACACATCGTCTCGTAGTCATAACATAAGCGGAGGGATACACCGGAAATTTTCTAAACTTCTTCCGGTTTAAGGACGCTTGTTATTGTTTACATTAGACCACCCATCCATAGTTGAGCGAAATATCACAGTTTGTAATTTTTTGAGTTGCATCATAGTATGCTTGTGGAGTTTTCAGAATACAATTTTTGTTTGTTTCGCTGAAATTTAAATCGAAAGAACACGTTATTTTGTAAACACTGCAAATATAATTCATATTTTCATGCTAAGGCATAAAAATCAATTGAAAGTAGCAACCCCGAAGCCTTATGAGGAATTTTAACCCTAGCACGACCATTTGTGCTTAGCTTTACTTGATCAACCATCCATTTCCCATTTTAAACTTGTACTTGTGGCAGTTCAGTAAAGCTGGGAAAGGAGATTGACATTTTGAATAATATCTTACAATAAACATTTTTAAAGGTAACATTTTGTGATATAAAATTTATTTTAATAATATTTCATATTTTTGACGTGGAAACAAGAACAGAATGCATAACTCTAATGTAAATGGATTGCTGATCCAACTGTACACGCGTGTACCCGTTGTTAAAGAAGAACGGGGTTTACCGGGAATACAGGGTACCTGCAATTTGAACACTATCGTTTTTTTGTTGGCATTATAATTTTCTGCGTGGAGTTGCATTATCTTTTATCAACACTCAATTTTCGAGTTAATTTTTCACGTTTATGTTAACGTATATCATTTATCGTCACATAAAATATGTGGCCTAGTAATCAATCCCAGAGCCGGATTATACCTTTCGTAGGTCCTAGGCATAGCCGTTTTTGGGTCCTCCCCTCCTTCCCCCCACTCCTCCCCTGATTTCAAAATATATGCTAAAATTTTCTTGCATATTTTTTTTAACATTTTTATTAATATGGATTTTAATTTACAAATTTGTTTATCGAACTTTATCTGCAATACCGAATGACATTTTGCGTAGTTTGGAATTTGACAGCATAATACAAGATTTCGTTGAATCCAAAAATCGCAAAAAAGTAATATATTAG